AACATTTGATGTTGGCTCTTACTGCGATGATAATTGTCTTATCATTGACGCCGTGCTGGTATGTTATGCTCAGACGTATTGAGCAGTGCGCTAGTTCAGACTCAGAATTTTCTCTTGGAACTACAAGATGAAATTAACCACTCTGCTAAACTATTACCCCCCATAAAGTCAGCGTCAGCCAATTTGGCACGAATTCTGAGTTCAACGTTCAATAACGCCACTAATATTTCATTCTCTGACATTGAGACCAAAGTTGGTATCTTTCTGGTTTTTCTCATCATATAGAAAGACGGCTCTACTTGGTTTTTAACCTTTTCCTTTTTGTGTGGTTCTGTTACAGGTGGCTCCAGTGTTATTTCATGCATTTGAGATGGTTCCTCAGTTGTCCGAAATCTCATACATTGGGATGGATGGTCTATTTTTCTCATACTACACAGAACACAATCAAACTCTTGCATTGTACTTCAACTCTTCCTTTTCTTCAATCTCGGGTGCTTCAGTAATTGCATACCATGTTCAACCTGTAAATCGTGACACTGGTGGTTTATATGGTGAAGCCGTAATATACAAGCACCCTGTTAATACGAGTTGGACCCAGGAAGCAGTCAACAGTTCAAACGGATATGCCTCAACGGGATACAAGTGGAGTGACAGTCATCAGATTTTATTTCTTAATTTGGTGAGAATTTCAATAACTGGAGTTATCTCATTAGGACTTCCAGCAGCGATAATTACAGACTTTGTCTCTCCTAGTAGGCGTCAAGGTGCAAGCTTGTATTTGGCTTCCAAAGATGGAAAGGTGCTTCTACAGGGAATCCAACATGCCCATATAGTATTCTATAATGATACGGCTTCGTTCCATTCAATGAAACCAAGTGATGAGCAATCGAGTTATCAGGGTACCGTCTCATGCAAGGCTGAAGCCGCTGCTACTGTTTTGAAAATTGGGGATAGTCAATATTGGACGCGCTGCTCGTCAATTGATAGAATGGGAGTAGAATTGGTGCGTTTTAATCAATTTACACCTTCCCTTTGTTATACATGCATGAGGAAAAGAATAGGAAATTAGAGTAGCTGCATCATATTCTCTCTGTTATGAATTACGACTCGTGTCATCTTTGCTGCAATACGTCATATTTATTAAAAATTTAGAATGGTAATATAAGCATATATTTTCCTCCAAGTCTATGAAATCTAACCGTATCACTATTTCAAGGAAAACTAATAATATTCAAAGCTTAAACTTTTAAAGGGTATATATAACTGTAGTTGGATTATGTTTCAGGTGTACGTCTTGGCTGTTCCCCAGAATGGATTGGTGACCTTTGTGCAGGAGAGTAGAAAACGGGGATTGATACTAATGAGTGCAATGATAGTGATGCTATTGGTCTCTATCTTTGGTTATGTTAAATGCTATAATGGGTCGGCGAGAGATGCACTTGTGTGCCTCTCTCATCAAACAAATGGAAGCCCACAGCAAGCAGAGAGGAAGAGTATGAATAAGAGCCGAGCATTTGCTAGTGCTAGCCATGATATTCGTGCTTCTCTTGCTGGTCTTGCTGGTTTAATAGAGATGTCCTATGAAGAAGTTATCCCGGGTTCAGAACTAGAGGCCAATTTAAAACAAATGGGTGTTTGCACAGAAGACTGACTTGGTAAAAGTGTTCGTTCAAATTACTCTGAATTGTACATAATCCTAAATCTTTTACTAATTTATTTCTCTGGTCCCTTGATATAGCAAACACTTCTTCTTTGTGTTGAGCTTTCATGGAATGCACTGACTTCGCCACTTTACTTACAGGGCTATTGAATTCTATTCTTGATACAAGTAAGATTGAGGCAGGGAAAATGCAGCTTGATGAAGATGAATTTGATCTATCCCAAGTCATAGAAGATGCAGTTGATTGGTATTATCCTACAGCTATGAAGAAAGGTGTTGATCTTGTCTTGGACCATTGTAACGGTTCAGTTATCAGATATTCGCATGTCAAAGGTGACACAGGAAAGCTTAAACAAGTTTTGTATAATTTAGTGAGCAATGCTGTTAAATTTACTAACGAGGGACACATAGCTGTTCGAGCTTGGGCTCAAAAGCCAAGTTTCCAGAACTCAATAATGGCGTCTAAAAGTACAATTCTATCAAGCATTTGGCATGCTTATTTTATGAGAAAAATGAATCAGATAAGTAGAAGTAAGAAATGGAGTCCAACAAGATCCAAGCTTGTTGGAGTTTGTGTTTGAAGTAGATGATACTGGAAAAGGAATTCCTAGGGAGAAGCATAAGTCAGTGTTTGAGAATTACGTTCAAGTCAAAGAAACTGCTTCAGGACTAGGAGGCACTGGTTTGGGACTTGGTATTGTACAATCGATGGTAGGCACCAACTTCTTCTTCTTCTTCTTTTTCATTGTCTTTTTTTAAGCAAATAGACTTCTTCTTAGTTGTTCCCAATGAATTCAATGCTAAACTTGGAAATTATTTTCGTAGGTACGTTTGATGCATGGGGACATTGAAATTGTGGAAAAGGAAATAGGTGAAAAAGAATCATGCTTTAGATTCAATGTCCTCCTTCACGCGTGTGAGACAGTCACAGGTGGTAGTATCACTAAAGAAGATAATGATTCAGGAGGTGACTTAAATCTCAATCATCTTCAAGTTCAAGATATAAACATCCCTAGTTCGGGTTCTAGCATCTGTTCCCCAAGCCCAAAATTACCTATTTTTGCCTGTAGTAGGTCAGGGGCTTCTTGCATTGTTCTTTTGATACAAAATTAAGAGCGACGAAGGACGGCCCTGAGGTTTAAGGAGAGCTTAGGGATTATAGATAAGGCTGTGAAGCAGTGGGAGCATTTGTCTCGTACTCTTAAGAAGATCAAGCAAAAGGAGCATAATTCTAGCCAGAGCTCTATAGGAACATCAGATACCAGTTCTAGGCCAACATCTCAAAATTCTAATTCCAGGGCCAAAGGATTTCCTCTGAGTGCTACAGATGGAAACGACTACATGCCTTCAATTTTTAGCAAGTTAGAAGATAGAGCTTCCTTGGGTTTGGTTCTGCTTGTGATTGATTCAGCTGCAGGACCCTTTTCAGAACTTAGCAGAATGGTGTCTGCATTCAAAAGAGACCTTGGGAGTCCTTGCAAGGTAGTTTGGTTAAATAAACCACTTGTGTGTGGAGTCAATTTCGAAGCACTTGATGAGGATGCATCAGACCTTGACGACATTATCCTGTCCAAGCCATTTCATGGTGGTCGTTTGTTTGACGTCATAAGGCTTCTTCCTGAGTTTGGTGGTAGTTCAACTAGTATATCTAGAATTGGGAGAGTAAGGAGGGGCATTTTTCATGATAGACTTAGGAAACCATTCAAAGATTCCCACATCTCAAGATATCAGTCACCTATATTGGATCGAGCAAAATTTTCCGCAGCTAATGCAAGCCCATTTCAAGACTATGGTAGTTCATCGAGGAGGGATCAATTGTATTCTTCTGGTAGGCCCAGCGCAAGGAATTCTCCAATTGACCACGAAGAGATACAAGAGTTTGATTATTCAACCAATGACAAGCCTTTGGGTGAAAAGAAATTTTTGATTGCTGAGGACACTGAACTTCCACGCAAGATAGCTTTTAAGACTTTGATGCAGCTAGGTGCAAGTGCAGCTAATGTGAAGGAATGCAAGAATGGCGAAGAAGCAGTGAATCTAGATGAAGAGAGTTTAAAAGGGGCTTGTCCTTATGATTACATCATAATGGACTGAGGTAAAGGCTAAATTTTGAACTAACCTGTTTTACGGAGTTTTGATGAGGGGTTAATCACGTAACGATGATACATTTATTTATGTTGGGGTTATTGAACAGATGCCAGTAATGAATGGATTTGAGGCAAGAAGGCTGATAAGGAAGATGGAGAAGGGGTATGGAGTTCACATCCCTATCTTGGCTTTAACAGCTCATACATCAGGGGAGGAGACCAACATGACGAAGGAAGCAGGAATGGACGCTCATTTAGACAAGCCACTTAAAGCAGACCATTTACTGGATGCCATAAGAAACATGCACAATGATAGTCTGAATTGGCGTGTTGTCCCGACACAACATTTAGTACTCGCTCAGAAGCTTGCGTTTCTATTTTTATGTTTAGTTGTTTCTACTAGCAGTCGATTATATCACAATCATGCTAAGCTAATAACCATGGAAGGGCTTGTTAGTTTTGCTGGAAAAATTATTATAAATCAGTATCACAAGAATGCTAAGTGCTTGAAGCGGCTCCCCAGGTCATCTTAACTTGGTAATCAATCCCCGAACGCAGGAAAAACGGCTAGTAACCTATACCAATCCTACTTGTAAAGAGCGGATTGCCACCGAGCACCTCCATAATAACGCCAAATGTAAAGATGTATCTCACCAAGGCCAGGATCGTAAGCGCATTTGAAGCTGGATTTGCGAATGAAGATTCGTTGACTGAACAAAATTGGAAGCAATGCTATTCGCGGCACATAATTCCCCTCCTCGTTGCCTATTACCATTTCTCCCATCCATCTGAAAAAGCACAACGACATGAACATGCCAATTACCTCGGCTATCTACCTGTCTACGCTTTGCCAGAGAAAAACCCAACACACCACTCATCGTGTCCTTCCCTCGACAAGAAATTGATCGCAGATGTGCTTTGGAATGTGACTGTCTGGCTGGGATTGGCCTCCACAACACTATCATACTGCAAACTGTAATGCCTTGACCTACTAATTATGAAATCCCGGTCGTCGTGAAAAACCCTCCAATTACTAAAATGCTAGCATGCCAGTGAAACCTTGCTTCCTACTCAACCGTTCGTTGTTGATACTCTATCCACTTCTAAGTCCAAGTTAGCACCACCAATCTGGGACATGTCCATTCGCACTCAAAATATTAAAAGCGATAATACCACATTTTTAGTACCATCAGTACCATGCATGTGTACTGTTCACCAGGCGTGGCCTACAAAGAATGACCAAAGCATTCAAATATGTAGAAGGGCCAGAAAGCCCACCTCTATCATTACGCAGATAATTGGCATCTACAAAGATAAGCCAGAATAGATATACACACGCCCACGGATACACACGAAGCATCTTAGCCATCTCCATTCTTCTTTCTTTTGTTTTGCTTTGCTTTGTTTTGTTTTTGTTTTTTTTTTTTTGTACCTATAGACCAACTCATACCCAAAATTGGATTAAAGAATGGAATGAAATTTAAGATCAAAAATCCGTATTACACTTTCTATATCCTCTCAAGTTTTCTTCTAAACCAATCTGATGTGCGCTTGATCTTGCTCAACAGCGCAGGATTTTTTGTAAAGAAATTCTCAGCATTTGTTAGCATTACCATGATATCGTGCCTAGCACCTTCCACGCTCCGATAATAGTCATTCTTCAACCTTGATAGAATCAATTGAGGATATAACGGAACAGGAAACCTGCAATACAAGCCAATGAATTTCAATTTTTCACTCGATTATCTAGCCACTGATTATACTTAAAATGAAACCACTCCCCATCGTTCTCACTTCCCCCCTTTCTGCCAACGTCCTTTTTTTAAGGGAAAAAAAATCAAACTAAAGGCTTGCTTGCAACTAGTATCAGTTAGGAAGTGATAAGAAGTCCTGATATTCCCCGGACCTGGCTTTATCAAAATCACAAAGGTACATCTCTTCACTTCTTTCTGATAAAGTAACAAATTTTAATTTCATACTTTTGCAAATATTGTTTTCACACCTGTTTAAAAAGTCTGACTTCTCAGCTGCTCGGTTCAATGCCTGCATACCATCACTATCCTGCATTAAGGGGGGGAAAATAATTAAACATCCCATTCCTATTTCTTTCGTTTTCAAGCTACTTAATTCCTATTTTATTAACTCAAAATCGGAGCTATGCGTATTAAAAAGCCTATGTTAAGAAAACAGACAAATTATGAGAAGCAAAAGATGTATACTCACTTTGTGGATTAATTTATAAAAATAAGACAACAGCTTATTTCTGATCTCATGATCGATGTGAGAGTACTCCAATTGGATCTCAGGATCATACAGTTCCCAAGGACTGTGCAAATGAGTTTCCGTCGGATCAGTCTTGTACTGGATCATATGCCTCTCCCATGGACTATCTGGAAACTCATGACTTTTGGCCTGTGCTGAAAGAATACGACCTTCCCACCAACTTCCCCCTTCCCCATTTGCATTTCTCCACCAGACCATGCATTTATCTCTTGGTGACCAATTTCTCCTCATGGCAGTATCATACCATGTTTTCTCAACAACAAAATCCGGAAAATTAATCAATTCAGGCAGAGTTAATTTGAATGATTTACCACACACATTAGAAGAAGGATCTGCAAATCTAAGTTTGAGTTTACAACAGCTATCTCCAGAACCTGCTACCGTTGCGTAATCAAGTTCTTCAACCTTGCAAATTTCAACAGCACGGAGTCCTGCAATTGATCTCCAAGGACCAACTTCATAGGACTGACACGACTCTATGTACTCTTGGTGGCCCTGCCAACAAAGAAATTGTGCGGACTAAGGAACAGGTTATAGAAGCAAGCTACTGAAGCACCAAATTCTACAAGGTAAAAGAACCATGAACTACCTGTCTCAAGTATACAACTTCATCACCAAGTTGAGGAATATAACGGTAACCCTCCTCATGCTCTGACAGCATCAGCCACGACAACTTCTTGATTGGGGGGTTTGACATCCTTTGAATCAATGCCTCAGAATCACCTGCAAAATATCCACTCCGTCTGTTTCTTATAGGCCTTGATCTTTGATGAAGATGATCAGACATGTTAGCAGAAAATCCTGCCTGATTCAATGTTCCACCTGAAGTTTGACCCCCTCTAATCTTAATCCTTAGGTTCAAGTTATTTGACTCCTCTGATGTTGTCTTTATTCTAATGGATCGTGTTCTACGTATTGGATCACTTACTGCATTACATCGATCAATTCCTGAATCAATATGTCTATTGACAATCAGGGTGTTCTCTTCCTTGTCAGCACCAACATTAGGATTGACCTCACATTTTGATGATCTGTCCTTTTGTTGGGTGTGATCATGTGCTTTATTGTCAGAATATGAACATGATTGCTGCAGAGAACTTATTTTTTCATTATAGTGATCCTCTTCAGGTTCTTCCATTCCTAAATTAGACACCATAAATGAGGGATTCTCAGAATCTATCTGAGGGCTAACAAATTTCAGATTGCACGGACTTTTATTGTCTGCTGAAATTTGTTTCTTTTTAAGAACTAACTTAGTTGAATTTATAGGTGCTTTCATTTTGAGGTCAGGAGTAACTTCAGTTCCTTCTAGTGAGTCATCCGTGCGTTTGTCACCACCATTCAACAAACAATTCCCAGATGTCAATGACTCGTCACCATTCAGATAATGGTTGCCAGGCAGTGAAGACTCGAGAGACGAAGGTTGGAGTGCATTATCAAGATGAGCAGACTTTGGATGATTCCTGCAATTCATTCTCTCTACATCACTGGTCACTGCCTGTTCCAATCTTCTGCAAAATGAGGCCAGAAAAAACCTTAATTCTAAGACAGACAGTTGTTTTTTTTTTTAAAAAAAAAGGAGAGTTCTACCAATTTTACAATTATCTAGAATTTAACATACCCAATATTGCTGGATGTGTCTCTCATATCTTCATGTATGTGGTGGCTTTCAGGAGGTGCAACATTCACATCTATAAATGATAATGCTGGGTCTGTAGAACTTCTGTCCAGTAGAGATTTTTGGATACTTTCTAGAGATTTGGAAGACTCACATACCATGTCAGTCTGAGTGTCACACGCATGAGCCATGTCCTCTAAAGGTAAATTTTTCTTAGAATCTCGAAGTGAAAACTTAAGAACCAGCCGCCTTCTATTTCCAACATTAGCTTGAGACTCTGAATGTGCAGGAGGCTTGGATGCATTAGCAAGGCTATCAAGAAATGGTTGTTTATGTTCCTCACACACATTTTGAATCTTCCTTTCAGGCTCACTAATAATATCTGAATCTTGCAAACTGTCAGATGATTCATCTTCAAGATCAACGTCTTCCCCATCTGTAGATATTTCATCCATCTGGGACAACATATTACGAGCAATCCGTGCAGCCGTCCGCTGAGGTCTTATTGTCTTGGTGTTGGAAGATTTTCCTTTAGATGATTTCCGGATGTTTTTTGATTTCTTAATTCTGTTACTTCCAGACGGCATGCCATCACAATCATTCAAGTTCCTTTTCCTGACACGCCTTCCAGAAGAAGTCGTTGACTCCACCTGAGAGATATTAAGGTTAGGGAAGAAGCTGTAATCAAAGATTTAGTCCAAAATAGATAAAAGCACTACTTACTTCAACATTTTGTTTTTTCCTTCTTGACCTTCGAAGGCTATCCCAATCATCTCCACTGCACTCTGGATCACTAGTAGAGATTGAACTTATACCCCCCTGCTCAGCTTCACTAGTATTATCATCATTTACATTGTATTCTGAGTCATTATCATCACTTATAATTTCAATTTCTGGCTCCCAGAACATAGCATCTATGAACTCTGGTTGTGGCTCAACCATTCTTTCCAAATCCGCCAAGGGGATCACCTGGTAGTCCTGGCCAACACTGAAATCTGGACCAACAGCATACTTTATTGATGAAGGACGCCATTCAATGCCGAGAGCACCAAGCCGACGACGCTGAAATTGACTCTGATAAGGCTCTGGGTATGGCACCATACCTGGTAATGAAAATAGTTCATAGGTGTATTTTGACCCAAAAAGAAGTGCATGAATTACAGCATAGGAGCCAAGCATATACTAGAATCACACAGAGGATCCTGAATGTTTCTTCGATATGGTGTAAGTTGAGTCTCCTGCACCAAGTGTTATATATATTAGCAGATGTATTGAATACCTGAAAAATGATATATTTTATTTTCACATCAATCCTGATGACAAAATCACTGAGTACATGGCATAATGGTTAGTAAAAACCTGATCAAGAACATTTCCCTGGGTATCCCGTACAAGGGGTCGATAATCCCCAAGAAAAAACTGCGAGACAAATCAAGAAACAATACATCATAAATAAACTTGTAACATCATAAATAATCTTATTAAATACTAACATGGTTAACAAAAAAGGGGAAGCAGCATTTCTATATTTGACCACCTGATCATACTTTGCATCCTTCTGGGACTCTCCTTGACCTGTATTAAGAAAATATATTTGGCCTACATCATCTGAGAGCACAATTGATGTTCCATCCCTACGTGTAAAAAATGAAAAGGAAATATCATTGTTTACCGTATATTAATGTTAAAATTTGAAGTGATAAATATCTAACTTACAATCAGAATGCATACATGAATATATGCTAGAAAACAAAGACAAATGAAACTCAATTGAGAAAACAAAGAACATGAAAAGATTAGACAGCTAAGTAGAGTTACTCTTTGCCAAAGTCAACTACAATCAAGTCACAAGACAAATCAAATTCAATTGAGAAAACAAACACAGAAAACCTTCATTATATTATCACCCATTTACCGTAGTATGGTAATGGAATAAACCAAAATCTTTGCACGGAGAAAATCATAAACATGAAAGGCAATTTTTTGTTTTTGCTCATATTCTTTTCTTTTCCCCCCGGTTTTTGCTGATAGAAAGGAAATAATTGAATGCACGATAGTAAGAAAACATAAATGAACAAAAGCATAGTAATATAGATTATTCTATTGACACTTACGGAGAAAACTTCCCATCCACCAGCTTAAACCTTCCAATCTCATACGTCCAAATAGGTACACCCTCCCATATCTTGAAACAGAATATATATCAGAGAATCATAATTTAGATAGTTATACGTTAAGAGCACACAATTCTTAAAAACTTGAAAGATGAGGAGCTTACATCCCACACAATTGTTCGTCCATCATAACCAGCACTCATAGCTATCCGAGGGTTGAAGGGATGAACATCCAGAACATAAGACTGACAAACATTGAAAAGTGAAGCAACATTAGAAAGTTCAACTTAAGGTGAAAGAGTACAAATAATATAACAAAAATCAAACTTGTTTCCGTCAAGAGCAAACTAGCAATGCATAAAAAGAAAAAAGGTAGAGGGGGAGTAGAGATTACTGATGCAGTATGGCCAGTCAAAGAGTGCACTAAGCTTCCATCAACTGCATTCCAAACACATATTCTGCAATCTGCAAGATCAAAAGACAATGATGTGATGCTGCGTGGTAACACAATTGGCATCCAAAGTATCATCCCAAGTGACATCCAAGATGGAACCCTACATGGCAGTCAAGTCCTACATGGCAACATATGTGGAAACCATGTCTTAGGTGGCATGTTATGCCATCAGGCCACCCAAAGTCATGTCATTCAAGTAAAGGAAAACCCAAGTAAAGATATTCATAATCAAGAGGCTATAATATGTGTTGAGAACCCAAATCAAATATTAAAAGTCCAATACACAAGTGTACACTTGGACGAGGCAAATTGGGTCATAATCTTACATTAAACCCAAATGCATATTCTATGTCTTATTCTCCTTTAAGGTAAAGGCTTCAATTGAACCTGGAGATTGGATTTGGGTACATCTCAGGCCTGAAAGATTTCCAAATCTGAGGAAGACAAAGTTGCATCCAAAAGACGATGGACCTTTTCAAGTGCTGGAATGAATTAATGACAATGCCTACAAGATAAACCTCTCTAGCTTCTATGAGAATGTGTCAACTACATTCAACAATGCAGACCTTTCTTTATTTGATACATGTGATTCAAGAACGAATCCTCTTCAAGAGAGAGGGAATGATAGGAATCAATGGATGAGTCAAAATCCAATATTTAGTACCTCTGACCCATTACAAGACATTGGAAGACCAATGACTAGATCCAAAACTAAGAGAACAAACGAAGCCCTAAATTCATTAATTAAGCATGTTTTAAATGATCAAGAAGTCTTGAAAGCAAATGAAGTTCTAAAAGACCAAAGAAAGACTCTTAGTATATTGGGCTTAACCCAAGACACTCAAGTCCATAAATCCAATTAGTTTATCTTATTTTCATTTTAAATTTAAGTTTAGGAAAATTAATTTATTTTGTTTTAAGTTAAATAAGGATACAATATATCCATTAGGGATATGATCTATCCACTTGAAATCCTAGATTAACTAAAATTGTGTCATTTAGATTTTTAGAAGTTCATTTAAACAATTAAGTCATTTGTATTTTAGATACTTGATTTTAATTTGTGAATTGAATTTTTTCAATTGTGAGGATATTTTGATTAGTGTTGTTTTCCGTGAGATTACACACCATGGGATTTCAGATTACTGTGAGCTATCACTTGGTTGCCCCATATCAGACAAGCTATCAGCAGATGGATGCAAGCAACTTTGCTGCCATTTTGGATTGTCCCCTAGTAAATTTTCCTCCAATGAGACAAGGTAAAGGGAGATGTTCACAAAATTGCAATGTATGCATGAATAAATGCAAAAAGATGTTAAGTAGTGCATTGAGGATATGACATGGTGTGCATATCAGCAGCAACTATTAGTAAGAAGAACATGAAATAACTTCTAGATGCTCCCTGCTTTAACTTCATGGAAAATTAGTTTCCAATGAAGCCAAAATTTCCAAATACAACCTTTTGAATAATTTAGGCAAATCTATGGATCTGAGTGAGTATATACTTTCCCACCCTATTAAAGCATCAATTTTAATCTACAACGTTACCCATGATAGCAGCTAGTACAAATCGATTGTCCAGGCTCCATACAATCATATTGACACCCCGAGGAGTAGGCAAAAATCTCTGCCTTGGACCCCCTCGAGGAGGCTGAGGAGGCAAAGGTGGTGGAGGCACTTTCAAATGATATGCACGAGTCCACCGTCCCACTTTTCCCTGAAGCAGGATCAATGAACATATAAATTACACATTAAAGACTATTATCATGTTAATAAAAGAAACTGCATCACATGGGTATTCATTTAGTTACCCAGTACAATATACCTTGATTGATTATAGATAAAAAAGGGCAGTGCCTCGAGGAATAAAAAGGAAACAAATTTCCATGGAAACCTTATTTAAAGAAACTCACGTGAGATCTACGAGATCTAGGAACCCATATAATTGCACTTCCATCACGGGAACAGGTGACTATGTTATCATGACAAAACCTGAAGAATACAGTGCGTGAAAACACTATTGCCACATTTAGTCAAGAGAAAAGGTTGCACTAATTAGATTGAACATCATACAAGAGTAACAGACTATAATATGCAAATCTTAAAATATATATTGACCAGGAATTTCTGAACTTTGGGACATTTTCTTCCTTCAAAGAGTCAGATGTTGAAAATTTTGAAGCCACTGAGCAACCACTGCATTTGGAAGTTGCAAAGACAAATGAAACTATGCATAAAATAAATAAACAGAAGAAAAGAAAATAAAAGAAAGATATAACCAGGACTAGCGAACCTAAACTGCACATAATTAACATCATTTTCATGGCCAGCCAACAAATCCATCTCATGTATTGGTTGTTCTGAATCATCTGAGTTAGACCTAAAAGCACTCCACACCTACCAATAATTGTAGCCCAGCAAAAAGATCTGAGTGGATGTAACATTTCAACAACTAAAGTCAAAAGCATTAGGAAGAATAACAAAATGCATCAGAGAAGTCCTAAGTAAACATACCCTCGCAAAAGTATCAGAGCTACCAGTGACAAAAACAGTTCCATTTGCATTATACGCACAGCAAAGTATTTGATAGCTCTGTTGACCATTACTTGAGGAAGGTAAATTAGTAGGCGGACCGTTGTTCTTCCCTGCAATAAACTTTACAATTCTTCTCACAATCCAATAAGCAATCAAGAATAGCTAAATAACAAGAATTTATGGCAATCAGCAGGTCAGACTACTGATCTAAAATGTCTTTAAGTGAGGAACTACCAAGTTATAATTATATTTTGAACTAGCATTCAGCACAAAGATTACAAAGTTCAGACCATGTCAAAAATCCCAAATTTGAGAATTTGGTTTGAATGAGCTATGAAAGTTACATTTATTCTTCTAAGATGCATATTAATAAAAAAATTTATAGAATCTAAACTTTTGCATAGCACCATCCCCAATACAGCATAGTAGTTATCCCTGATTAATAAACTCAGGCCATATCCAGATCAAGGTCTGACCAATTAACAGCAATAGAAACAAAGATCTGACCTGTTATGGAATCTGAAGGCTGAGGCAGGTATATCCGTGGATTGCACTGTGAATATCTTGCATCCCATATTCGACAAGTTCCATCATCTGATGACCTACATACCTCAAAATGTGGAGTAACAAAATAAGAATCCTCAGACTTGAAGATCTTGATTGCTTATAAGGAAATCACAAAAACCAAAAAAATAAATATTGTTCTGCAACATAAGGTATGCTTAGTAAATTTGGATAAATATTGGAAGGATGATTGAAACTACCCAATATTTTAGAATAGACATCAACCTACACACAAACTAAAATAGTTTAAGTAATTTTCAAGGGATAAAAATACGTTCTTTGTTGAAAAGGTAACTGTGTTAATGCAATCATTTAATTTCATACTTTAAAATGCTAATAACATGCCCACAGAATTTGATATTTAAGGGTGGCAAATAAATTTAAATCTCAGTTCAAAGGAACAATTTTAATAATTATAATAGTAACACCATCATCATCATCACAAACTCAAATTTTAAGCAGTAACCATAAAATTTAACTAAACCTCAGATAAAAAATACTTCAAAATTTTTCATAAGCAATAAACTAATCCAATCTTAGGATAAAATTTTGGCGTTGCTAGTATAGACTAGCAACAAGATTTGAAAGCCAAAAAATCCTATTAAAGTACTACAGCTTGGACTCACGATAAAAGCTGGTATACAGCACTGGGCCTAGGACTAAATGCGATTGTGTTAACAGCCCCAGTATGTCCCCGTAAAACTGATATTGGCATTCCGTCTGGTAAGCGCCACTGTTGAAAAGTAAATATCAGCTCAGTTTCCCAAGAAATACAGGAAGATGACAAAAGTCAACATAGACTTACAACTCGAATGACAAAATCATTTGATGCAGATGCCACCAAAGCATTGTTTGAGCTTACAGCCAAATCAGTGATATCACCCTTCAATCCAAATAATCACAGAATCAGATTTAATGACAATAAAGGCTAAAATCACACATATCAAAATTACTTTCATGAACCATATTCTCAACTCACTTCATGTCCACGGCAACTGGCTAAACAAAATGCAGTTTCCATAGACCAAATCTTAACAAGACGATCATCTGAACCGCTGATCACATATCTTCCAGATCGATCAAATATGGCTGCATGACAATTGTCCAACAATTTTTAACCAAGTAACTTTTAACCGCTAATCTTCAAATCAATGTTCAACTTCCTATCAAATCACTCAATTTTAGCTGAAAGAAATCAAATCACAAGTTTAGCAAAAGAGCAAGCCATACCACAATAGACAGCCACACGATGTCCCCTCAACTTCTTTATGTTTTGCATCTTCTGTACCATAGTTGATGGTTTGGCTATTGCATAACATGCAGATCGAATTGATGGGGCTCGATGGTGTCTTGTGAAACCACCTCCAATTTCCCTTAAATATAGCCCCTGAACTTGATTAGCCTGCATGTGAGGCCAACGCAGGTAAGCTGGAAGGGGCTTAACTTGCTTCTCTGCTGTTTTCCTATCAACTGTGCAAAAAACCAGAAACTAAGGTAAAATAGATATTTATATTCTGTGATTTACAATGCAGATAGGGCCAAATAGATAGGGCCAGACTATGACATGTTTAGATACAGAGTTGACATTACAGACTTTAGAATAGTACCAAACTTGGAAAAAAGAGAGAACCAAGAAGAAACGCCATGCAAAAAAAAACTATTTGAACAAATATCCAGATATTTATCATCCTGGCCCTTCCTACTGTTATACAAGCTCAAAAAAAATTGAAAGGAGAAAAAAAAAAACTGCCAGACAATGGTTACATTGCACACAACCCAACCAGCAATCTCACTAGAGAAGTTCACTGAATATGACACATGCCAAAACGTGATCAAGTGAGTTCATTTGGAATAGAGTGATCCCACATACTAGTTTATTTGAAATAGTGTGAACCCACATACAACTTTAAATCGTTGTTCATTCTCAACTTGTTCTATATATGAACTAATTCATGAACAGTATTATAAACATAACATGCACTTACTTACGTGCAGATAAAAAAATTTAACTAAATAAAAAATATTAGCTCAGCTCATTTACAACCCTGAGGGAAGACATCAGATAATTTACTTAAATCTGTATTTTGTGATGCAAACATAATCATGGAATGTTCATATGTAAAATTATTAATAACAAAGCATCAATTCAAACTAGGTTTGAGTTGTCCAACATAGGCCTATCACTAAAACCCAAATCCCTTAAAATATTAACACATCCCTCAGTCTGAAGGATAAGAATAACATAAGACATTGATGGAAATTTGCAACCACGAATTCACTTTATTAATATATTGACTATGATACTAGCAGAAAAGTCTGATAGCAACGAAAGTTTAAAACTGTACTCGTCTCAGTTAACAGACATTTGTAATGTGTCACCTTAATTTAAAACTACAGGAATATAATGATAGGTCAAATAATTGAATAGAGAAAGTAGATTACAAGAGCACATCACGTACTGTCCAAAAGAGAAAAGGAACCAGATCCAAGTAAAGTAGGAACATCAGCAGCATTAGGGGTACTTCCTTCAAGTTTGCTGTGCATGGGATGGGCTGTACTCAGCACTAATTGCCTCAGAAGCTTTACCAAGTGATCCTTTGCTATGTGAGAATACCTTGTGGTTACATAAATGACCAAACTTCAATGCGCACACAAGTAATAGTAGGAGAAGGCCATTACTAACTTAAATAGTTTCCCAAGCCTAGCAAGAGTTTTCCCAAAAAAAAAAAACAAAAAAACAAAAAAGAAAAGAAAAGAAAGTTTGCTTTAAAATATAAAAGATCCCCATTTCCACAGGCACATTTTTTTCTACCTACAGAATTTTTATAGGCACATTTAAATTTGAAAAAAACTGACATTTGGAGCAAGCTATGCCTATGGCCATGACAAATGTGAGTTCCTAAAAGTTGAAGACATTGGACCTCTATGAAAAAAATGGAGAGAAAGAGTAGTTCAAAACGCTTATTGCATTTCTGTGCTGGGCCTTTTTTCAAAAACATTCCCTATAATTGCACATTGCAATTACTTTTACTAGCATAAGTGAAATTTACCGCCACATTGTGTGTTTTTAGAGGGGGGAAAAGTACCTGTCCACCAATATGTTGTAATTCAAAGGGAAAGAAATGCCATCATCATCATCATTCCCACTGTACAAACCACTTCTTGAAAACCAAGCATGATATCTTCTAGGTAGAAGCTGGTGCTCCAAAAGTTCATTCCAGAAATGCTCAAAAGTCCTCTTGCATGGCCCAGCAGACAAAAAATGCAGAATCAAAAAGTAAACTTCTCTGAGGTCTATATCCACATCAGTGTCAACAGCATGACCAGAAGCTCCTTTATCATTACAAGGTCGGGCCATCTTATCCATCTGATTTGCAAAGCTTAAAGGTGATACATTAACTAATGATGCACCAGTAGAAGCCATGCACTTTCGTGAATCCATGTTTTGAAAGAAGCCTAAGAAAGAGGAAAAGTTCCTTTTTGAAAATAGTTTCACTCAGCAAAGTAGCCAACCTCAATTATACATGCACAAGAAAACCTGATGCACACCAAATTAATAACAGATAAGGAACAAAATCAAAGAGAAGTCATACCTGGCTAAATTAGGCATCTATTGCCAATCACGGTAATTATGGAAACAACTTTGATGATATGATCTACAAGGTAATCAGTAGATTCTATTTTTGTATGATCATGATATGATTAGATTCAACAAGGCTCAATTCAGATGCAATTGTTTAGCCCAACATTAGAATGGTTAAAAAGATTAAGAAATACAACTGAACTTACTAGCTCAATTACAATAAAACTGTAGTGCCATGTTTAGATTTATAGTAAATGTTTTTCAAATTTTGAAAATTATGATTAGTTGATTACATCCTTGAAATTATTCATAAAAAAGAATTCAAATATATATACAAGAAAAGAGTGGTACAAAAAAGGAACAAATTTGAGAGCTAAATCAATTTTCCCTTTATTCATTCAAAAAATAAAATGATCCTATAAAGAAAGCATTTTATCATGTGAAAGAGGATGAGAAGGTCATACAGCTCAAATTGAGTCAAGCAGCGTGAGGATTCTATTTTTATCATCAGTGATCAGACTTGAAGCATTAATCTTCTTACCATTTATGTTAGATGTCCCTTCATAGGCAACTTATAATTGGCTAACATTTGGCAAGGATCCACAAGCTTTCAGTGGGACATCGTCATCAATTTTAACAGAAATCATTGGAGGTTAAAGTCTCTATTCTCATATTAGGTCAACCTGAAACTGTATTCATCTATAGAAGCTGATAAAGGAAGCAAACATTCAAAAGCTGAAATTTGATTAAAACTAATGCTCATTCTTTCTTTTATGAAGTAATCAATTAAAAAAAGCCATTTGATGAGTTGTCCAACATTTGACACCTGAACCACATAAATAAAATGAATGACTGCTCAAAACTATGTTGAAATTTAAAAAAGTATTTTGATTCACATGTCTTCTTTACAGAAGTAGTTTTACAAGGCATTGCATTCACATTAACCAACTAAATGTAAAATCGTTTTTAGCTCTCCTAGTGTAAACAAGAACAGGTTATGAAACAAATTAAAAATTGTACGAAGTAGAGGGGGCATTCTTCCCCATTTCACCTCTAAATAATGCAACTGCTACAACATGCAACACTATCAGGAATTTAGGAATAAGGGTAAAGTGAAACTCTCTTCAATCTGAATTCCATTATTTTCACGGCCGCTCAAGATCTTCCTCTCGAGGGAAATAGAAGGTGATTATCACAATACTTCAATAAGGTTAGCCCAAAGTTGAAGACTGAGTATAGCAAGAGTGCAAAATATGCATTCATAATAAGAGAAACTTAACAATCAACATCGCAATATGTTTCGCGGTAAATTTTATTCCTATGCGAGTATTTGGAAGACAGCCAATAGAGAGAACTGAAAGAAATGTCTCAATTGAAAGAATCCAACTGAAACAACATAATTGAAACAAAGTGGATGGAAGAACCTCTAAATTGCTTCAGGATGGTAAAGCAGCAAGGAAGTTAGGTTGGACTCCCAAGTCATCCGAGTCCACGACGAAGGCACCTGAAGAATAACCCATGGAATCCCGAAAAACATGTTATTTAAATCTTTGAGTAGTTTCGACACAAAGGGAAGAAATCCATTTACAAAAAACTTATCATTAAAAAAAAAATCTGAAAGATGCGATATTTAATTCGTTTTCTATCTAGGGCTTCGTTCCTATTATAGTCTCGGGTTAATAGGAAGAGATTTGAAAGTTGAACTTGCAGTTGCGGAGAAATTGAAGCCCAGGCTCTTCCAAGTCTCAAACACTAACTTACCATAAGAAAGAAATTTGTATTTGATGTGAGGAACTGGGGAAGGTTCGTCCGCAGCTGTAGCCTTTATTCTTTACCGTTTTCGGTATTGAGGGTTAATCTGGTCGGAAAGTTGCCCTCTCTACTTGGTGTCCGATGACGCAGCCGCAGAGGACAGCGAAGTTGGAGTTTGCGTTTTATTTATATTTATATAAATATTTTCCTCGTTTCACGAGAACATTGAATATCCTGCTATTTATTAAAGTAATATTGTGCTTTTAAAGTGTTAACATCTTTTTTCTTTTTCCTTCTTCTTTTTTCTTTTCAATTCAACCGGCTTTAGTAACTCCTCCTATACAAACCAATCCAAACTCTTCGTGCAGAGTTATAGACATGACTCATGTTATAAAATTAAATTAAATTAATAATTTAATATTTATTATATTTTATATTATAATTAATTTATTATATTTGTTAATAATATATAATTAATCTTTATAAATTTGTAAATTTTTAATAATAAATTATTTAAACATTATTAATAAATTTTTTATATATTAATGTGAATTATTTAAACTCTTAAATTTTTAAAAATTTAGTCTATATTTTTCAAACACAAAAATTTTTTAGCCACTCAACCAATTTATCCCTATTATTATCAACCAATAGTGATTTTACAGTGTTGAAAAAGCAAGCTAACCCTTAACAAGCTAGAGTTTAAATAGGATTAGACTTAAAAAATCTAATTACCTAAAAAGTTTATATTTACAAAGCTTAGTCTTTAATCTCGTGGGCTTAGGGCCGACCTTGAGGCTTTGGACTCTTTTAATTGCTTCCAACAATTTTTGAAATAAGTATATAAAATAAAGCAAATTAAAACATAAATAATTATATACTAGCTCATTAAAATGCCACATCAATATTTAAATTGCCAAATAAAAACTAAAAAATACTAAATAAATTAAATAAGTCTTCTTTAAATAAACAAAATAATATCCAAGCATTAGCATCATCACTGTGATGATTATTATCATATTCATCACTATCATTTTTAACATTAATAATAAAATTACTATTTTTTCATACTTGGATTCTTCCCCATCTTTATTAAATACTAATAAACTATCTGATAAACACACACACATATACACATGTTGGATTGAATGAGTCAACCTGTTTATTTTCTAGCCCCTTTAAACATGTATACACTCAAGCCTTAAGCCCATATCTCCATTTAAATTAACTTGTTTTCTTAACTTTACTCATGAGTAACTTGAAAATATTTTTGATATATTTTTTCAATATAAAGATTAAATGGATGTCATTTAATTGACTAACTAAATTCTCGCTGGAAAAAAAGGAAAAATTTTATCAACCAGTTTAATAATAATATCGAATATTATATATGTCATTTATTACTCGTTATGGGAATGACTGATAAGATCTCTGTACAACATATACAATATCGTTAATTGCTTGTTGATTGCAGGTGCGGTTTTTTTTTAAAAAAAAAAAAAAAATCAGTCAAGAACCACTAGTCCACTTTAGAGACTTGATTTTAGATTAATTTAAAAAAATTTAAAATTTAGGTTCTGTACAGGGAGAAAAATTCAAAAGAATTTTGATGGTGAAAAAAATCAAAATGACATTCATTTGTTAAACAAAATCACTAATTATTAATTTTCTTACTATATATATTAATGTACTACAATCACTTATAAATTACATTCGCCTGTCAGACAATTAATAACATTAATTATTAATTTACTAACATTACTTATCGATTAGTAAAATACCCGTGCGATACATGTGCCATATACAATATTTTTTTAATAAGTGACATACTTATCATTTATGATGAATTTTTATAACAAAATATTTTATAAACATGTTCTCCATATTGTACGTTATGCATGTGTTGGGGATGTTTAGCTATCATTAATAATAGGTTTGCTTGTTTAAGATTAAAAAGTAAGAAATTTTTAGATATTTGTTAAAAATATATATTTTGAAAGAATCTTATAAAAAAAATAGATATTGTTTTCTATTTGATTACAACAATAAAAAATAATTATTAGTTTGTTATTTTAAAATTGTATGATATCCTACTTGATTTTTATTTTATAAAAATAAATTATTATTTAATTGTTTTAAATTTTTATTATATATTTGTATATCTCGCAAATTTTTAAAACATTCTTTATCATCTATTGCATTAGAGTACTTTCAAAATTCAAAGTAGCTTATTAAAATAATAAAAATTTTGATTCTTTTTTGTATTTTGATTTTTTTTCAAAAGTGTAAATAAACATAGTGAAAACTTAAAAATAAATTTTTTAAAAAATAAATGATTTTTCATAAAAATAAGCTAAAACAAACAAGCTCATTGTGTGATGTATGTGTAAGTACCAAGTAGAGTATAACAAAATGATAAAAATAAACACTTATCATCTTGATTATTTTAAATGTATGGCATTACACAACTCCATAAGCTCATCAATTTTTTGTATTGAAATAATTGAGACACCAACTTCAAGCCTTATTTCATGATTCTGGAGGCTTGGCATTGAAATAAAATTTAGAAAATTTATAGATAAAAGTCTCCAAGTGAATTCATATTTCCATCATCTTTCGTGATATTATCAAAGTTCAAATATACAACTTTCTCATCAGGGAGTATGAACAACACATACCTATCTACCTCTTCAACTATAGTCAATATATGTAAGAACTAATGTTGCTTTGTCCTTGAAATATAAATAATTATAGATATTGCTATATAAATATGGATATATGGAATCAATAATGGACTTTATTAAGTCATTTAAAAAAGCTAATAACAAATTAGTTGAGATTTCAATATCCACATATCTAGAGTTGAAAAAACACTCCCAAGCCCATTTAAAATTAGGTGTGTTAATAGGTAATCGAGCTTAAACTGGCCATTTTTAATGGGCTCAAATGAAGTATCGACATGTTTAAGCGCGCGCATACATATAATTCATTAATATTTAATAAATGAGGAGAGAGAAGATCTGACTGCAAAAAAAGAGTAGAAATGTTAGGAAAATAAAAAATAACTCTAGCCTAAACAAAAAATAAAATTTTGATATTTTTGCCATGGACGAGCAAACTTATAGTAAAGTACGATCAAATATTATTGATATTGCAGATAACAGTGACAAAGATGAAAACGATCATCGTAATGTTGCCGTTAATGTTTATAATTGTTTTTTTATTAATATTTAGAAAAGACTTATGGTTTGATTTTGAAAAGTTGAACAATAATTTGATACTTTAATTGGTTAATATTTAATTACTTATGGTTTAATTTGTTTTGCTTTCGAATATTTATTTTAAAAAACTTGAAAACAGTTAAAAGGGTTCAAAGCCCTTATGCCAGCATTGAGCCTATAAGCTCAACAGCCAAGCTTTATAAATGATATAACTTAAGCTTGTTAATAGCCATCCTTAAGTCTTATAATCAATTGAGTTAATATAGTTGGCAAAATTCTAAAGAACATTGATAAATGCTCTGCATTTGTTGCACAAAAATTCATATTTCTAGTTAGAGATGATAATTATCTCAAATGTACAAAATATTATTAGTGGCAAAAACAATGTCTCTTTTAAAATCACTTGAAATAACATAAAAGATTTTTCTAAAATTTCTGTCAAATACAATTGTTCCTCCAAAAGAAAGATGGCAACTAATGGGTTGCTTTCCTTTAAGGATCTGTCAAGAATTTTAAAACAAATATATAAATTATTGGTCCATAGAATTAAAACTTAATATGTTATGGCCGAATAACTTTGAACTAGAAAGAATACTATCGATATTTTTGATGTTTTATTTCTTATATGTCTATTTGTTGGCACGTGTATATAAATATTATTTTTATTTAATTATCATGTCATTAGTTTGACATCATGAGTTTGATCGTTGGTCTAATAGTTAAATTATGAGAACCGTGATATGCTAGCCTTTATTATTTGTCATTCAATCTAATTTTAAAATATTAATGTTGACTTTTAAATATTTTATATGATGATTGTTTTACTTTTTGTCCTTTACATTTCTAAATTGTTATTTACATATATATTATCTTAATTATTTAATAAAATAATAAAATATTTTTTATTTATTTAATAGTTGAAATTTATTTATATATTTTTATTTTATATGATGGTATTTTTTAACATGTTAAATTTTAATCATTTAAATATGGTCTAATGATAAATATAAGAACTAGAGAGTAAGGGAAGTTGAGAGAATTCCCTCCCACAATATACTATACACGATTCATCTAACACATTCATTTGTTATTTTTGCCATCATGGATCAATGTGCAATTCCAACAATTTTACGTCTGGCTTCTACATCCTTATTAACATAATGATATATATAGTTCTCTTTTTATTTTAAATATAATGATTAATATTATTAACTCTTCATACTCAAATTATAGTATTTCAAAAATTTCAAACACTTTATGGAAGGTATGATTAATTTTAAAAAAATTATTTTTTAAAGATATGTAACTTTGATAATTTTTTACAACTTTAATTAGTTGATTTTTTTTTTTGCACGTTTAACTTATTGCAATTATGTATTTGAGTTTCATCACCTAATACT